CAGAAATTTACTAGGCCTATATTTGCCTTCTTTGATGGATATGCACTTAGCACTGGCAATTCAGCCTTATTGCTCCACTTCCATCATTCTCCCTCTTTGACCAGGTGCCATCTACACAGTCAGATGCCATGTCACACCCTGGTGGTTGCTTATGTCCCTTTCACCCATGGTGAGCTTGCAGGCTTCTTCTTTGTGAGGCCTTATAAGCCATCCTTTAATTAGCACAAAATCAGGATAAATTTTCTGCTTGTGCCCTTGAGTCAGGCAGCAAACCTAAGCCGACAAGTAGACAGTTTGGCTTCTTGCAGCTTAGTAGTATCTTTGGAGAGCTTCTGGGCTGCTAAAAGTCTACATTGCTGGAGGGAGACAGAAAGGAGTGTTGATCTACCCTTGCCCCGACCTTGCTCTGAAGCCGGGTGGGGGGCAGCAACAGATGCTGCTAAGTGTGAAGAAGTAAGAGATTCTTAACCTTGTCCTGATGGCTGTGAGCTGAACGAACCAGCTGGGCCAGGCTCTGTCCCAGCCTCCAGTGCTGTTTGCACCATCCCCTGCCCTCCAAATTACAAACACAACACGTTCCAGTAAAGCCCGCCAGAGCATTCCTGATGGAAGGGTATGCCCTTGCCAAGCTATTTAAAGGCATGCATGCTGCCCTTTATTCTTCCAACTGCCTGGACTGGAAAAGACCCGAGTCCTGTGACCAGCTCAGAGAAGGCAGGAGGAGGTGGCCACGCAGAGAGGGACCTGAAAGGGCCCCCTTTCCATTCTCCTCCTGCTCCTTCCCCAGCATACCGTCCCTATTGAGGAAACTGCAAAAAATGTTTGCCTTATGTGGTCATCATCTTCTTGACCAAGGGGATCTACAAGATTATCATCAGTGAGGCATGACGACACAGAAATGTTTGTACTGTATACCTAGTGGTGCCAGTATCCTAGGGAGCACTTTGCTAACAGTTTTACAAATTATGGTCAATGGTGCTGAAAGCTCCGCTCTCCCGTGATGATTTTTAAGGGTTGCTGGCTTGCAACCTGGACACATTTGCTTTATTTCTTATGGTTTGCCCTTCACCAAATGGTTCCAGGAAGGGTTACAAAAAAATAACAACCCACAATTAAGACAACTAAGACAAGGGCAAAATGTACAAAAGAGCAGCACAGAACAGCAATATATCAAGGTTGAAAACCCCCCTGCTTAACCAAAGGCCTGGGTAAAGAGGTGCATCTTGGACAATTATCAGAAAGCATTCGGTGATGGCAGAAGATGCACCTCGAAAGGGAGGCCCTTCCACATTCCATAGGAAATGAACTCTCATGGCCACCTTCTCTCAAAGCACAGCAGGTGATGACACTATGCACAGACCCTTCCCTGCTGGCCTTAACTCAGGCAGGTCTGTGGGAGGAGGAGCTTTCAGACATTTGTGACCGAGCCATTTTCTATGGCTACTTACATAGTGCATTTGACATTCTTGGGCTGTAATCCTACTGCATTAAACTCAAAAGGAGCCTTTGCATTACCTTCAATAGGAAGAGAATTGTGACTTGTATTTATTTTCCATCTTCATAACATTCCTGTCAGGTAGGATTCATTTTTATAAACAACACCCTATACATTTTAATCATAAGGTATAGAATGAGCCAACTTCATTTGAAACCCTGTATGATACACACAAGTGGGTGACAGAGTGGAAGAGACAGCTGTTTGTGTGTGTGTGTGTATGGGACCCGATCACAGATTCCCCAAAATGACAAATGGGCACGATGACTTAAACCCTACACTTGTTATGCAGCCCCTGCCCTGAGACAAACATGAGATTTGAGTCTCACTTACATTTTGGCAGCCCTTGTCCTGTTTGTCAGAAGCCTGAAAGGTACACATACCTATGCAAGGGTCCAAGTATCTGCTTGACTTTGGGAGCTGTAGATTGATCCACAGAACTGGCCAATAATGCTAGATATATCTTGAGTGTCTGCTCACCCTAATGGTAAATGCGATGGCATTTTGCAAGAATAACTCAGCAGAGATGGCAAAATAGTCCTGAACTGAATCTTATTACACTATAAAGCATCCTAGCCTGATATCATGCATCTGGGAAGGGAGCTATGATGTTACTTATGGCGGAGTGTTCTGAACAACAGATTTCCTCTCCTGTCTGTCCTTTCCTTCCTTCTTTCCTTGCATGGCCCAGGGTCACTCTACATATGACTTTGTACTGCACCCTGTTCTGCTGTAGTGATTCAGGGGCAACTGAAGAGGCATGTACACTGCATGCTGATGTCACATCTATTATCAGAAACACCCACCTGTGGCTTTACAGATGCAGCATCCTCCCTCTCTGCTTCTTCCCCACCCTGCTCTCTCACAGTACTTATACTAGTAGTGGCTACTGGATTTCCCTCATAGCCCCCAGCTCTCCCTTTCAATGAATTTACATCAGCTTTGTTGCAAGAGGCATTGGTACTACCTAGGGCTTGCAGGTAGATGAAGCATAATATTCTGTTCCCATTTAGATACTGTACAGCTGAAAACCAGCCTTTAAGCTACACTAAGAGGTGGTTCACTAGAAGCAAGTATAAGACTCTCTCAAGAAGTAATAAAATCCTACCTATGGAGAAATAGATAACAAGCAGAAAATTTTGCCCTCTATAAATCAGCACCCAAAGCGTAAGGCAAGCACTCAGTTCTAGGACTGTCTGGCACATTTTCACTTGACAAATGAGGTAGCTGAGCCACCTGGTGGTGAAACTCTGAACTTGCTGTTACATGGAGCAGGCATGATTACTGGAAGAAACAGTTTTGTAAGCATGGATGCAACACAAGTAATATGAACTCACAATTTAAAAACAAAACTCAAAGCCATCTTTGAGTAGAGGAGCAACTCTTTACTTCTTGCAATCAATGCAGTGCAAAACAGCCATTGTAAATATAAAGTGCCTTAAACATAACTGCAGGAGGGAAACAGCCCGTACAAACAGGAATTGGAGCAGGCTCATCGTCCATGGTTACTCGTGCATCCACCACTTTATTTAGGTCCATCCACAGATTGCAGATGCTGCCGCATGTAAGATTCAGACATTTGGCGCTCAATTCATATGACTGGGATAGCCCATTAGTGTTGTGATGAGGACCTTACTTCTTCTGCCAAGGTTCACATGAACACAGAATAGCAACTGGAGTTTTAAAAAACCAAGGGAAGCTTTGAGGAGGAAGACCAAGCTTGGCTGCCATCCCACCAACCTCTCACAAAGTGGAGCGACTTCTGCCCATGCACTGAGATGTGCAGTGCAAACCCAAGGGATCTTCTATTGAGGGTGAGTTACAACATAATGTTTTCCACTTCCTTTGTCCTCCAGCTCACATAAAATGCTGTACATCAAAGAGCAATCCCATGCATTTTTCAAGAGCTACACCTGAAGAGCCCCTGCTAAATTTTTAAACAGCATAAGCTGCATTATCAGCCACACACAGGAGCATTAGTACATCTAAATGTTTCACATAGTCTTGATCGCTCAGGTCAATGAAGACATCAGTTTTCAATGCTGGTGCCAAAAGCATTCTGAGATGATCGTGAGGACATGATGTGGGAAGGATGAGCATATTCTTTTGGTGGGCGGCATGGAAAGTACATCTATATTTAGGCATACCTGTAGGCCACGGTGATCTCACAGGTATGGCTTCCCTCGCTCCAAGTTCTCCTGCCTATGTTGAAGACACACTCAGTATCCTAGCCTTTGATACTTGAGATACCGTATTTTTTGCTCTATAAGACTCACTTTTTCCCTCCTAAAAAGTAAGGGGAAATGTTTGCGCGTCTTATGGAGCGAATGCAGGCTGCGCAGCTATCCCAGAAGCCAGAACAGCAAGAGGGATTGCTGCTTTCGCTGCGCAGCGATCCCTCTTGCTGTTCTGGCTTCTGAGATTCAGAATACTTTTTTCCTTGTTTTCCTCCTCCAAAAACTAGGTGCGTCTTGTGGTCTGGTGCGTCTTATAGAGCGAAAAATACGGTATATATTTTAAAGACTCGCCCTATTCTTCTGACTGTATATTGCTTTAACTGATTTTAATCTTGAGAGGGTTTCAGCACTGCACCAAAGCGATCATTCCATCAGGACAAGCATTTTGGCTTGCCAGATAGAACAACTCCTCCCCTCTTCTCCCCTTGCACAATGTTCTGGGGGATTCTTCCAGATCCCCACCCCCCAGACAATTTTGGGGGGCACATGGGCATGAAGGGAGAGGAGTGGGAGAAAAGCCCCATTGCACTAGTAGAAGTCCTTGCACAGGACTTCCACTTTACAGGGCTTGTTAGCTGAATCCCACCCCTTGTATTTCTATATTATAACACACCCTGAGACCTTATGGAGAAGGGCAAGTAAGAAATCATCATCATCGGCACCAAAGAATGGATGATGATATTCTTATCATTATTCTTAGTTTATTCTTTTCTATGCTTGTGGTAAAACAGCACAGTAGAAATGCACCTGTGGAGCCAATCCAGGATTTCTGCCTGTGTGTTTGCACCCCACTGACCTCCCTGCCAGCTCTCTCTCTCCCTCAGTAAGAAACAGACCCACCTGCCCAGGAAGCTAGTCTGGCAGCTCTGCCCCATGCAGCAATCTGCATCTGCTCCTTGTGTTATATTGTTCATAGCCTGGAAAAGGACCTCAGTTCATGTTTCTTTTTGCCTTCACTTCTCTTTCTGAAGGAAAGCAAACTAAAAAGAATAAAAGAGCTCATATTCATAATGTTTTGTGCGAATCAGACCTTAGGGTCTGGCATCTGACTTGCTCCACAACCCCATAATACTTTGCATTCTCTCCTAGAGGTAGACAACTACTCCACACCCAAAGATAAAAGTTATCTAGAGCATACATGCTTTCTCGCTTGTGACTTTGTTATCTGACTTTGCTCCAGATATGTCTCCTTGCCTATCAGAGGATGGCTACATATTAAATACATTATGATTCTCTCTCCAGCAAACATATATTGCAGCACCTTTGCCTAGTTTATTAAAGCTGATTTATTATCAGAGATCAGGACTGGGCTTAGCATCTTTGGAGGTGGCAGACCATGCACATCAGTGGAAAACACTGAGCCAGTTTCTTTGGCTGTTTCCCCACTAATGTTGTGTCAAAAGGAGAACATCACTTCAACAAAAGCAAAAAAGGCGCTCAATTGCCCTGTGACACATGATCTCTTTGTTTAGGTGGCCTGCTGATGCCAATTGAGATGGTTATCCTGGAATGAATACATCAGTCTGTTGTCCCTGTAATTTACTTGACACATGTGAACATCCCTTTATCAAGTAAAGCCAGTGATGAGCCGAAGGCTACATCTGTATGAGAACATTCCCTCAAAATACTTGTGGAAGAATCTTATCAGTAGTGTTAGGTTAAGAAAACACAATTTCAAAAAATCAGGCCGCTATGAGCAGCCGTACATCCATATCCAATCACACCTTTTCAATATGTGCAGGACATGAATCCCTCCTTGACACTCATGTCAATCCACAAAACTGCTGGTCCCTTTGCCTGCCTCTTTGTTCACTGCATAATATGAAAAGTCTCATGGAGGAAATGGAAAGGGCAGGTATGTGACAGCACAGCTAACTTCTGAAATTGAGCACCTCCTTATGGCTATGTCTGCGGCGCTGGATATGGCCAAGCAGGTGAGCCCCATCCAGGTGGTTCTGGGATAGGCACCGTCACCAAGTAGCTGGAAGGCACGTAGCCCTTCTGGCCATTCACTTCCACCAGGCTCCACTCTGTGCATCCCTTCTTGTCATGAGGCTCCAACACAGTCACTGGCTCACCTGCTTGCAAGCTGACCTCATGACTGCTTCTGGCTGCGAATGGATAACCAGCAACTACCTGAGGAAAGCACAGAGATTGAATGTTAACACTGCATACATATGCCACACAAAGGAGAAGGGAGAAACAAGGGCTGCCCAGCAACAGAGGTAAACTAGGCTACCCCTCTGGGGTGCATGTCTCAGCTGTGAGAATATCATGGAGAGGTAGGCAGGCATATTGAAGTTTATGGCACAGCAGTAGCCAGGTCAGCCTTCCTTGGCCTGGTGCTTTCTGGATGTTGTTGGGCAGCAGCGCCCACTTGGACCCCACACAAGGAGGTCAGGTTCACCACTGGTTGCTCTGCCTCAGGTAGCAAAATGCCTTGGCCACAAACCATGTAGCTGGGTTATTCCAAGGCTATGCTATTCCAAGTTTCTGTCACACCAGCCGAGATAATCTTTTAAACATAATGCCCACATTTTATTGGGATGGTTGCACAAGTTTGCATATCTGAAATACAGATCTACCCAACAGTACCGCAAAATGCCTTCCATCTGCCACTGCCCAGCCATGTACACATGTGTGTATGCCACAATATGCTGGGAAGAAATGAATGAAAAGAATTAAAAGAAGATTCATTGCTGAAATTTTCTACTCACATGTAAAGCCTGTGCCCTGAAATGAAGTGCTGGGCTGGGAGCTTGGGGCAAGTTGTATGGCTGATGCATCTGTTCACCACCACCACCACCTGGGACTGACACCTGCATTCTGGGTTTTGGGTTTTGGACTAGATGATATGGCTGGAGTTTCCCAGGCGATACATAACCTCTTGGTCCTGTAGGGCACATAAAACCATTATGGTCAAGCTGAACAGCAGGGTCCTCTCATCGGGTACAGCGGTTTTCTTTTTGGTAATTTGGATTGATGGGTGGAGAGTGAAGAGAATGAAAGGGTTTGGCATTATTGGAAAGATTTGTAATGGGCGGGGAGGGAAAAGGCCGGCAGAAAGGCACAGCTCTTGTGTGGGAGAGAGAAAGGATGTGTGGTTTGTACTAGTGGAAGGAAAGAAGAACAGAGTGGTGGGGAGGAATAAGAAACAAGTGCAGGATGAAGGGTATAATAACCTCGGAAACAAATTATATAAAGGAAGTCAAAGACAGAGAAAGGTGGAACTTGTGAGAAGGGGAGGATTTGGAAGCAATGGGGTGGGGGGATAAGTGGAGGAAGGAGTTTAATTTGGAAAGTACAAAGAAAGATTAATAGAGTGGTAGGAAAACCAGTGCAGGAAGAGGAAGGAGGAAGGGGTGGAGAGAGGAGCAGTATTCAGAAAAGGACACAAAGCAAAAAGGGAAAGGAGGGTTTGGGAAGAAAGGAAAAGGTGTATGTATTCTCTGACCCTGTTCTCAATGAGGCTCAAACAAGAAACAGGCAGTTTGCAGGCCAGCCACCACCCATCCTCTCCGTCCCCCTGAGTTTAATGGGCTTGCCACTAGCAGCTGGCCTGCCACTTTTCAGCTAGTCATCCTTTTTCGTTTTTGTTCTGGCCCAGACAATTGCAGCAGGGTGGCTGCTGAGACAGGGTTGGCCGTGTACTTGCTGCTCTTTCTTTTTCTGCGGTAATGTGTGCACTAGACAATACACACAGAGCCTTCTGGGAGCATCAAGCATGCTTCAGTCCAGCTACCCCACAGGTGCTTGAAGACTTTCCCCCCTCCAGTATGTTCAGTGGGCTCCCTTACTTTATATGAGCTGCACCCCTGCGCCTGGGCATCCCATGACCATGAACAGCAGTGTAGCAGTCCATTGAGAAGTGCAGGAGTTCATCATGACAGATGCAATTGTCACCCCCTAAGGCAGGGAGATCTGTTTCATAAGTACTGAGCTGGCAAGGTCCTTGGTAGCAAATAAAAGGTTTAGGTGTGTAGTTGCAACCCTTACCGTACCTCCACTATCCACCAGCCATCGGTTAGTGTTGCCCTTGGTGTCCCTGTCATGCAAGAGAGCCACAATCTGCCCCCTCTGCAACACCAAGTCCATGTTTTTGCTGCCGCTGGTGTTGCTTGTCACTTGATATAGCTTTTCTGGGCCATGTTTGCTCATGAGCAAATGGACTTTCCTCTCCTCTGCAGGGCTAAGAGGCTGCTGAAAAGACACAGGGAGAAGTGGGTCAGAAACATCTTCCTGCAGTCGACTGTGCGGCCACGTTAGTGCACTGGAGGATGAGTCATCATAAGTAGGGTGCAGCCACATCTGAACTAAAATATCTTAGAAGAAGATGAAACAAATCCTGCAAATTGAACCAATTCTTTACATTTGACTGCATTGAACAGTGGGTTTGTGCAGAGAACCTAACAGGATATATGCTTCCTATGGGGTAGATTTATTTTATTTTTAAGAAAATAAGAGTTAAAATTGCAGCCGGGAAGCACTGAGGAAGCAGACGTTTTGTGGGTTAAAGATGAGCTATACTGTTGCAGAATTTAGCTGTGAATAAAAACTCTGATGGGAAAAGGGGAAGGAAATTATTTGCATTTGCTTCTGTACTCACAGCTGCACTCCTTCCACAGAGATCCTCTGGGCTGGGGGTGGCTGTGGAATGCTAGTGCTAAGGCCTTTATAAACGTTTACTTAAAGAAAAATAAATGATAATAAAAAGATATTCTGAAACCTGCTGCCTTTTGCTGCCTGCCTGATCCTATCCAAGAGTTGGTTCTGTTTCATTTTTGTTTTGGTATTTTGCCTTGGGATTATTGTGGTTCCTGAGTACTGAAATTCCAATACTTTATTAGCATACGGAGGTGGGGGGTGGGTGGAAATCCAGTTACTGCCTGAAACTAGGACATATATAGTGAAGAATAGGATTATGCAAGTGTCATGGGGACCTGATGGATAGCAGCAACAACACCACTGGTATGAGTGACTTCCCCCCTCTATGCCTATGCCACATATTAATGTATCAATCAGCCATCATGTATCTGGGGAGTTGTGGGAGAGGCGCCTTCACCAGTCTCCTACCTCTGCAACAGAGCTTGGCATAACAGTCTCAAATTTCTTGCAGTAGGAGTAGAGCTGAGCTTCAGCCTGGCTTAAAGAGTCCTTCACCATCTTCCCAAAATCAGGTGCAGGGAGGTGTCTGTGTGGCAGCTGTAAAGAAGAACCTTATAATTAATTGGAGATTTTGGGGGGTGGGTGGAGGTGGATTATGGAAAGCAGAGAAAAGGTACTTTTTATGTTAAAAAAATAAGATAATAACAGAAGATAATGATGAGGTTCATAGCGGATTTTATGTACAAATATAAATTTTGCTAGAGGTTTCTGAAAGCAAGCAAAATATCCATCCTGTTTGCAAGCTAAGTCCATCCTGTTGTGTGCAGCATATGTCTCTGCCAGTGCTTACTTTGCATTTTCCTTGCTCCTTCTTTGTTTACAGTCACTGGAAGAGGGACAGAGATGAATTGCATCCTTTTGTGTGTGGAAAGGATGAGGTTGTGAGAAGGAAGTAATCTCCTATAGCCATTGGAACTGCAAGGCAAGTCGTGCTCTCTGTAGTAGCCGGTTTATAAAATGATGTATGGTGTGGAGATGGAGATATATATATAATTTCTCCATGTCCCAGAAGAATCCAAGAGTGCTGTATCACTCAGTGAAGAATGCACCTCTTCACACAATGCATCATTAATGTATGATACACTCCTGCCCCCAGAAATCATAAAGACTCCTGATTTAAATGGCTTTAAAAGAAGATTAGTCAGATTTCTAGAGATTATCCATGGCTATTTCTTGCAAAGGCTATACAGAACCTCCATGTTCAGAAGCAATATACCTCTGAATGCCAGTTGCTTGGGTACGAATTGGGGAAAGGCTATTGCCTTCATGACCTGCTTGTGCAGTTTCCTTGTGGAGAATAAATGAGAGTTTCAGTGTGATCCAAAAGAGCTATTCTTCTGTATTTTGATTTATTAAGGTAGTACGTTCTTCTAGTGCACCCAGCAGGGCTTTCTCAGTGGTGGGGCCCATGTTATGGAAGAACCTCTCCCAAGCAAGCATCCACACTGCATGTTTTCAGCTGTCTGTAATACCTTATAAGGTATTTCACAAGTTGGTTTTAGCGGTTTTGTGAGTTTAACATGTGAAAGAAGGGCACAGACTAGTTAGTTTTATTGCTGGTTTACATTATAGTGCATTGCCTCAGCACACAGTGGCAAGGCAATACTGTCATATTTGAAGGAATTCAACCTCGCTCTAAGCCATGGGTAGGCAAACTAAGGCCCGGAGACTGGATCCGGCCTAATCGCCTTCTCAGTCTGGCCCCCGGACAGTCCGGGAATCAGCGTGTTTTTACATGAATAGAATGTGTCCTTTTATTTAAAATGCATCTCTAGGTTATTTGTGGGGCTTGCCTGGTGTTTTTACATGAGTAGAATGTGTGCTTTTATTTAAAATGCATCTCTGGGTTATTTGTGGGGCATAGGAATTCGTTCATTTCCCCCCAAAAAATATAGTCAAGCCCACCACAAGGTCTGAGGGACAGTGGACCAGCCTCCTGCTGAAAAAGTTTGCTGACCCCCTGCTCTGAGCTGATAGTTCCTTCGGGGCAAGGCTTTTGGCTTGCCAGGTGGAAGGATCCTTCCTCTCTTGTCCACCACGTGCTGTTCCAGGTGTTCTCCTAACCTGCCCTGAACTACATTTGGGGGGCAGAGAGTGTCCGCTTACGGGACTCATTAGCTGAATCTTGCCCACTGGGTGGTACGCTGCTTAATTTTACTCAGAGCAGACCCATTGAAATTAATAGGCATGACTATATTAGAAACAATTAACTAAAATATGTTCAGCTGTTGCTTGTGGAGCAGGCAGTGGGGCAGCTTACCAGATCTGGGTGAAAGAGAGAAGCAGCAAGTACAGATCCTGGCATATCAGGAAGGGGCGTTGAAAGGCTGGTGGTGTGGGAAAGAATAATAGAAGGATCTGAAACTCTGAGTCTTTTAAAATTTGGAGAGTCCCCAAGAGACTGAGAACAAGCCTGTCTTAGTCAGGTGACTCACTGCTTGGGCAGGATTCTAACACTGCTGAAGCACATGTCTCTGGCTGGGCAGGAGGAACAGAATCAGCTCTCCAAAGAAAAGGCATGCTAGCAAAATGCTCATTGTTATCAGAAGCAGGGAGGAAGGAAGAGAGAGGGCAGTGGACACCTGTTAGCCATAGTTAAACATATTTCCTCTCTCTATTGAACTGTTTGAGGAGAGGGGAAGCGGCTTTTAGTCTTTCCCCAACAGCCTCACTGGTAACGTAGCAAATGTCACAGTCCAAACCCGGGGTCCCTTTCTTGATCACCCTTGCATATGACCAAGAGGCAGAGCCTGGGAACCATCTTTAATTGAGATGATAGTTTCACTCAGCACCCTTTCCCACCCCACCCGCCAGTGCATGTATGTCCCTAAGCCTGGGAGGCAATACAAGCTACCTGTTGTCTCTAGGCACAAACACCATAACCCCACATCCTCATCCAATTTTTTTACCTGGGCAGCCTCCCGTTCTGCCTCTTGGAGAACTTGACTGGCCAGATCCCTCAGAAAGGCCACAAAAGTACGCAGAATATGCCCCAGCCACTGCAGGGCCACCTGGTTGAACACTGGGAGCTCAGACACAAGCAGCGAATTTATGGCGAGATAGGTATTCATGGCAGCCTCCTCTTCATATGTCACACTGCCTGTCTCATTCTTCTTCTCCTCAAATTCCTCATAGTCCAGCTGCTTGTCCAAGCGCTTCTTGATCAGTTTTTGAGGCCCTTTCAGAGTCTCTGACAAGTTGACCAGTGGAAGGTACACCAGGTTCTCCAGTCGTCTCCTCTGCAAAGCAAAGAAAATCAAATACAGTTCTGAAATCTTGACCTCCCCTCACTCAGCAGATGAGAGGCATCGGGGATTGGGGCCCTTTGGGGTTCCACTAGGGAAGTGCTGAGGAATTCTTGCTCCAAAAGGTCAAGGAACATGCTCTGGGTCCCATCACCAGACTCCACCTTCTCACTTGTTATGTAACACGAACAGCCCAAGCCCAAAGGAACCCAGTTCCTAACAAAGATTTGCGGCATCATTTTACAACAATGAGCAACATGGGTCAGAATACAATCAAAGGCTATGTACACAGCCAGGTCCCTCTCTCTCTCTCCCCCCTCCAATTCGAATTGAAGTTGTTGGTGGTGGGGAATGCAGTATTTCATAAGAAGCAACAGGGTAGATATAGAAGAGAGATGGGTTTGTGGTGAATGCTGTGTGCACACTTCTTCCTAAACTAGCCGTGGGGATGCACTGGATTTAGAGTAAGCAGGAGTGTGTAAACAGCCAAACTTTCAGTGTTTGTAGAATCAAGGCAGATGTTGTAGAGCAGTAGAACATGTGTTCTGGATGATTCAAAGATAGGCAGCCATCAAATATGCTACCAGGAAATGGAAAAGCTCTGAAGCAGCCAGGGTGGAGGAAGGTAGATCTGCTACATTCTTCCTCCCTACACCACAACCAGGCTGTAACTAGAAAGAACCAAGACATTACTTACAAACTCAGCAAAGACAGTGCTGTGGAGTTTTCCTTCAAGCTGGCAATATTGTTGGATAGTCCCTCCTTCTGTTCCTAGTTCGTTCTCATGTGGTTTATAGCTGAGGAACGCCTAAGAGACAAAGAAATGAGCCTGATTACATGAAGAAGTGATTAAGATATGTTTTTGCTGCTAGGCAGTGTCGCCAATACTGAACTAGATGGACCAGTATTCTGACCTGGTAGAAAGCAGCTCCCTATGATCCCAGAGTAGGGAATTAATTTTCAATTAATTGACCCATCTGTATCCTGGTTTTCCGAAACACAGGGTAACTAACAATGCTATGAGAGAGGAACAGTGAGTTATGACATTGATCCAGTAAAGGAAGATCTGTGGTGAAACTTTCTTCAAAATGCACTTGGTGGTCTTTCATCTTCAAGTCCAAACATTCTTCTCCTTTCTGTTCTGGTTACATAACCTGCTTAGAGTATCAGTGAAATATGTGACTGAATGGGGCCATTAGTACCAACAAATCTATTTTTAGATGGTGCTCTGAAGTCTCATAACTTATTACTGTGAGGCTGATTGTATACCAATAAAAACTTCCACAATCTATTTGCAGAGTCCCAAAACCATAGAATCTGCAAAGCAGCGAATTGTGATCACAGATCACCACTTTGTGTAACTAACAGCAAAGTCAACATATTTTTAATTTTTCTGATTTCAGCCAGCTCCTACTTCAGAAACATAACCTGCTCAAAGAATGAGTGAAGCAGCCTATTGTGTGGAGCCGTTCACACCAATTCTCAGTGGCAAGTGTGTTTTTAGATGGGCACACTTCTGTTTCCTCTGCATCCAGTGAGCTCCCACTTCTGCTTTGGGAAGTGGTGTACACACAATGTTAACCACAATCCACATCTATTCTGTATCTACCCTTTCATTTTTAACGAAACATTGCATTTTGATGCATTTGCAGAAGAGGGATTTGAATGGGTTAACACAAAGAAGAGTGAGGAACATAAATATTCCCAGACTATCCCTGTACCTTTAACCTGTCAACTTACTTCTTCTCTATCCCCTTGTTTCTTAGACTGATATGTTGCATCCCGTTTACAACTTCCTGCTCCTCCTCACACTCCTCTCTTCAACCTCAAGATAAGAGGGTCATCTTCCTGCTTTCCTTTAAGAGAACAAAGGAGCAGACATGACTGCCCTGTCCTCCTAAGCTAATTAGTTAGGTCAGAACTTGAAACTTTCCCATCCATGTTATGTATTTCCTAAAACAAGTAACATTATCATTTTCTCACCTACAAGCATCTCTCTGTGTGTGATTGCAGCAAAGATTCACCACCCAAATGCTGCTCACTACATTCAAAAGGGTTTCAGTAGGCAATTGGGCCCTGCTATCCCAGTGGATCCAAACTGAAAAATGAATGGCCTAGCTGCACTTTAAGATGGCAATGTGTACACAGCCATTGTGCTCCAAAGTACCCCTATGGGATAGATCTGGTGTGGGGATGTATCTATCCTAAGGAAAACAGAGTCTTGTGAAAGAAAGCATCAGAATCAGTTATGAGAATAAAGAAAGTGGGAGGATTTTCTGGTCACTCTGGGCTCATCCACACTTCCTCTTCTCCTGCAACTTTCCCCTGGGGAAAACTGCTCTTTAGAGCTCAGTCGGAGCAAATGGCAATTTGGGCTTTCTGTGGATTGCTATTTGCTCCGAATTAGAGCTAAAGAGTGGATTCTCCCTGGGAAAGGAGTGGGGCAAGGGGGAAAATGTTTGGACCCTTGCTTTCCAGGCATGGGACAAGTGGAAGTGTGTTTAAGCCCTCTGTCTAACCTCTTTCAAGAAGTGCATTCTGAACTCCGTAATGCTGAGACTGTGCTTGAGGGTGAAGTCTGGGCTCTTTGTTTGTGGCCAAGGACTGATACTTGCAGAAGTATGAGGAAGAGAAAAGCAGAGCAATTTAAAAGCTGTTGTCAACCTGCCAAACAATGCATTTGGAGGTCAGGTTGTTTCCGCCCTTGGTTCATATAATCCCAGGAGTTTATTCACACCTCCAACAGGATCTCCCCCAGGGCATGGAGCCTGAGTATGTTCGACATGCTGAATCTCAAGAGCAGGGGATTGCAGCATGTGCCAAGCACTGTTAGCTTTGAGGACACTCTTTCTGATTCATTTTCTTGCTAGCAAAACACCAGAGCAGACTGGGCATAAAGCAATAATACCACAATGAAAGGTTAAACTGTGACATAGCCCATCTCTCAGGCTCAGCGGAAGAAAGATTGATGTGTTTCCTAAGGTTTGGTTCCCTATCTGCTTTCAAAATCTATACTGGTGGAAACTATCTCAATTCCTGCAGGAAGATTACAGCTTGCCTCCCAGAAGAGCATTTATTCATACTTACTCCTTTCCTTTCAATTACCTGTTAATATACCGGAGGAATTGTGGATGAATATCCCATCCACAGATATGAACCTGAAATGCACAGATGGCAAGGAAGACCCCAAAGGGTCTTCACATCTGATGTCTTTTCACATCTGAAAACGTTCTCCAATGTAAAGATGTGCATCTGCAGCCATTTTAAGAGCATAAAAATATTCCTGCTAGATCCCTCATGCAGACTCATTTCCCCAAATTGAATTTGGATTAGTGCTGTTTCTCTGTGGCTAGCAGAAATCAGAACTAATGGGCCCAGGCACTTACATGCAAACTAAAAGTTTTAACTCTGATACAAATGGGCAGACCTCAGTCATGATTCTCCAAGTACAGTACTTTCTGACCAGCTACTGAAACTTTGTCAGAGACAATGACGGGTTGTCAAGGGTACTCTAAGAAATCCCTGCTGAGTACTCTGTGTACTTATCCCATGAGCTAGCTTCAACATGAGATAAATGAATATTAATACCTCTGTGTTGCTCAGGAAAGAGGCCACATTCTCCTTCAGATCGGCTACAGCTGATGACAAATCTTGGAACTTTTCTTCCAGTGTGTCAAACTCTTTGTCCTTTGTCTAAAGACCAGAGAGAGGAAATTACCTATATTATAGCTCCAATGGACAGCAAAGGGTTAGCCTTAAGTTATAGAATGCTAGGAGAGAAGATGAGACACTGAATGTGTTGGCATGGTAGCAACAGTACATAGTGATGCCTGTGCATGTGCATCATTGCTTTACATTTATATTGCAAATAATGGGTTGAATGCAATACTGCTGTTCTGTTCATGTGACAGACTTCTACTTGTTCAGTGGAACTTCCTTCTAGTCTCCTCTGCAGCCCCCCCCCCAAATCTGCTCAAGAGGGCTGGGGGTGCCATGGAGCAGATTTCAGGGGTGCACAAAGACAGGAGAGGAAGTTCTGTTGCACCTCTCATGCAGTGTTGAACAAAACATTAATGAATTATTATTATTTACACAAAACAAGCACCTGTCGCCTTTGGAGACTTCCAGGAAATTAAACATCATTCCTGATATATGCACACCTTAGATCAGCAGGAAACTAAATACCTAATACAAGACTTGCTATGTGAATTCTTCTTCTGTACCTCTGAAGTGCCCTGGGGCCTCATAACATTTTCCTGTTGTATACCTGCTGCATAAGCAGCAGAGTTGGGATATTGAAAGGAATGGTTTCATTTTATTTTCAAATTATGCTAATAAAAAACTAAGATTAAAAATTAAGAACTATGGAGAAGGGCTGTAGCTCAGTGGCAAAGCATCTGCTTTGCATGCAGAAGGTCCCGGGTTCAGTCCCTGGCATCTCCAGGCAGGCCTGGGAGAGACCCTTGTCTGAAAAACTGGAGAGCTGCTGCCACTCAATGTAGACAATACTGACTTAACCCAACCAGTGGTCTGACTCGGTATACAGTAGCTTCTTATGTTCCTATGACTACTAGGACATGGAGAGAGGAGATTGAATTTAAAACTATACAGATTAAAATTGAAATAAAAAGGCCAAGAGGATTTCTCGCAATTCCTGGATCCCCACCCCCCCGGATTCTTTCAGTTCATTCTCACACTTCAGAAACCACATAAACCAGGTTGCAGTGCCCTGACACTGCTAATTTTTCTGCTGATGGAAAGAACCATGACTTCATTTCAGATTGCCAGCCCAGCTTCCCATTGTGGTTAATAACTGATCGGCTGCTCTTAAGCAGGGTCAAAGGGCTTGAGCCTCTGTAAAACAGGAACCATCTTGAGCTTGATACCTCAGCAGGAGTGCGATGAGGACAGGAAAATGCTTTGCATGCTTACCACACTGCACAATTTACTGGTGTCGCCCTTAACTATGAAAGAAACACTCCTGGCCAGGTCACAAGTGGGCCCTGTTATGTGAGCTCCTCAATGTTGATGTCATGATCCCAAAACCGATTGCATGAGCTCAGAGATGCTAAAATGTGATAGCTTATTGCTATCTATGAAGCAGCCTGAAGACACCAAGTCAGTGAGTTCAGTCTGATGAAATAGAAACTATGTGTGGCATAGAAGAACGCTTTTCCAACAGCCAGTCTCGGTTTGTGTGTGTCCTGAATTCACCCTCCCTTGCCACTCCAGGATGCTGCCAGCCCACCATTTCAGTGAGATAGTGGAGACAAGACAAACACAGAGCACTCACCTTAGGCACAATTCCAGCTTCCTGCATAAAGAGGCGGCTCAGTCGTGTGGTCTTCTTGGCAATGGAGTGGGGGTTGAGGCGAGCCAGGCGTTCCCGCAGAGTCAGATACCCAGGCTTGTTATATTTATTTGCTATTCTCATGTCACATGGGTTAGAAGGTAGGAAAACAGGGAAGAAGCACATTACACAAGGTAGAAATGAATGCCCTGGGCATTTGGTGATACAGAACGCCGTCCCAATACAAAAAGAAGACTATAGTTTCTGAGACATGGCTTTGGTGGTGGAGAAGCACCTTGTTCTGTTTTGAAGTATCAGCTATCTTTCAATTAAAACTGGCCCTGAGATTGCCATAAAGGATTTGCTGAGTTGGCCACTTTCTTTCTTTCTTTCTTTCTTTCTTTCTTTCTTTCTTTCTTTCTTTCTTATTTTTATTTGCTTCTGTGTTACAGTTCTTCATTAGTACATCAACATTAGTACAACTGTTGCATTCAAAAAGGATTGGTAAGAAAAATATTTCTTGGGTTGACCACTTTCAAGGAAGCAGCATATTAATTAATTATTGGGATTCTCACACACCTCTCGTCTCTTTCTGTTACCCTTCCCTGTTACCCTTTCACTCTGCTTTGTTCACCATCTAGCCTGGTGAAGAGCTGCAGAGGACTCAAAACCTTGCACACTGTTTTGTGAAATTTTGGTTGGCCTAAAAAAGGAATTGCCCTACTGTGGCTTTTTTTAATGAGAGAAAATGGCTGCCTTTGGTTTTTTTAGCATGTACTGCACCCATCTTCTGAGACCACAGTTAAGGGGCACTCTCTGCCCCTTTTGCTTCAGTGCTAACTTTGCCGCTGAGTGCTCCCAGCTCGACAGGGGATCCTCAGCCCAACTCCTCAGGTGCAACTGGGCAACAGCTCCAAAGCAAAATGGAAGGATGCTTTCCTCGTGTGTTTGCATGATTGTGTTTGTGTGTGCGTGGGTATCCATAACACTGAGCAAGAAATTAGCTATCAAGAGATCATGCTGTCTATTGTGTGTCTTTATCTTATGCTAGTCTACTGTAATTGAGAGAATGAGTGTATGTACCCTCATACCACATAACTACTTCTGCAGTTGCCTATTGCCTATCTAGCATGTTTCATTTATGTATGGAGGTGCTTTTACTTATGGAGGTCTATGACCGTAATAATGATTTGGATTTGGATGGTTCAGATCCATAACCAATTGTGAGTATATGGTTCCTGATTCTTAGCCTATTAATTTTCTTAGGGCTGGTTTAGCAAACTACTCTCAGTGCAGAGGTGGAACTGACGTTAGAGTTACTGAATGATATTCAACTAAGTTTGACATCAGCGCATCCACTGTACGCTTTTTGGTGCCTGCTAAAAACATTTTTGTTTAGGCAAGCCTACCAAGATATATAGAATGCTTGCATGTATTTTAATCTGTGTTTAGCTTATTGCTGATTTTAATTATTATTTGAATGTTTCAGATGTCTGTTTTAAACTGCTTTTACTTAAAAATTTGTTTCACTCTTTCTGAAAACTGCTGTGAGGATTTTTTTTCTACACTCAAACTGTTTATAAATTATATGAAATAATTAAATAAAACAAGTAAGTTTGCCATGTTCATTAATTTCAGTGGGCTTACTCTGAGTAAAACAGCTCAATACAACCATTTTTTTAAAAAAATTCTTTTCTACACTGTCTGCATTTTTTCTTGTCAGTATTGAGACACAGCCATCCTTGGTAACCCACTCAATGTAGACCACAGGGTCCCACAAGGAGGCATCAAATGTATGCCCAGAATGGCTTCAGAAGAATAAACAAGCCCAAGTGACTGAAACCACCCACACAGTACAGGGCTCCTGGAGTAGAGCAGATGGTGTCCAGAGAGCATCCATTTCCCTCACCTACTTCCTTGCGTCTTTTGTACTCATTGATATTGGCATTGACGTCTGTCATAGCAGCAGCTGCAGCTTGGAGAGCTCCATAGGCACTGTCGCTGACTGGGGTATTTTCCAATATCTTCTGCAGCAGCAGTGGGTATTTTGTGACCCGTTGCACTGGCATCACCAGGAAGAAGCTCAGGTCTGAAGCCCCAATGTGAGGCCTGTCCAAGAGATGCAGAAGGACAGCAAAATTTAAGCAGGCATCAGAACTTACTTGCCTAGTGATTCCCTAGGTTTCTCTAGCAATATAAACAGGCAGGAGCTCGTGTGTGTAGCTGGGGGGGGGGGAGTCAATAAATAACAATACTTAACTAAAAGTAGAAAGAATCAGAATATTTGAAATTGAAACGTTTGCTGATGTCATTTGGACGATGCTGTGGCGGATTCTAGTGACACAGCTGGCAATCCTACTGAGTGATAGGCCTGAATTCCATGAATTCACCAATCACGTCACAGGTAGCTTGGTCTGCCTCCACTCATTAACATAAATCCTGGCTACGCCCATGCAGCAATTGTACCCTACTAGTTTGATTTTGTATGTTTGTTGAAGCCTGTAAGAAAACTGGAACCATTGCCTGGTGCCTAGTTATTCTGTCATGGTGCATGGTGATTGTATCATTGCCATGTTAACTGGTTACACCATGCAGCAGGGCCTGGAGAATTCTTTTGCTGCTGTTAAATTGACATTATGAATGAGGCTATCCGTGACCAGCGCAAGGCTTCATCTTCCAGCATCTTGTTTCAACAGTGCCCAACCAGATACTTTTAGGAAGACCACAAGCAGGGCACAAAAGCAAGAGCTGTCCCCTGTTGTTGCTCCCCAACCACTGGTATTCAGCAGCACACTGCCTCTGAATATGGGGATAGTATAGCTACCCATAGCAATATCAATTGATAGACATATCCTCCATGATGAATTTGTATAATCCTTTAAACCACCTAAGCTGGTGGTCATAACACCTTATGGCAGTGAATTCCATAAATCAGTTGTTATGTGAAGAATTGCAGGAGCGGGGGGCAAGAGGCCATTAGTTCTTGGCAATGGAGGCCACAGTATGGGGCTGAACACTGAATGCTGCCACATATGCATGGCATATCATGAATGCTAGATGCTGGGAACTATAAGAAATTAATGGAACAACAGTGGGAAGATGTAACATAGACCATATTTGCACTCTGCTCTTGCCCATTATTCTCTATTCATTCTTTTACTGAGTTCCCCCCTCCTCCAATTCAGGGCTAGAAACTAGCTGGGGTTAACTAATGTACGCTTTGTTCCATTGACCTGCGTAGACCTTGGCAGATTTCCACTCTCTGGTTTGGGGAGCTTGTCCTTGCTCATTTGCAAAAGAGAACTGTCGCCTCTCACAGCCGTGCTCAGTCACTCAGATAACAGTCTCAGCCAGCTGAAGTGATGGACTGACCCGAAGGACACAGACGCTGCCAGCCACTGACTGATGTCCTTGCCTCATTACACACAGTGTCATGTTTGTTTAGCTAACGAACTCACCCTGGGATTGATTCTTCTCCAACAGATGGAAGGAAGAAGTAACAGTGCCTGGGAATAGCTGCCTGCAGCAGGGCCTCTGAGTGGGCACTGCATCACAACATGGCCATGATCTTTTTAGCCATATCCAGAAACACACTGCTGAATAGGTTGAAAAACAGAAGTTCCTGGTTCAGTTCTTCATTGCCATTGGTGGACCTTTGGATTAACCACCAACAATGACACAGGCAACAGAAGCAAGAAGAGTATGAGGAGTAACTCTACACTGTGGAGGACAAGTAAACCAGAAATAATGTGGTGCCCTCTGGATGTTGTTGGACTACAACTCCCATCAGCCCCAGCCAGGATAACTAGCAATGAGGGATGATGGGAGTTGTAGTCCACAACATCTGGAGAGTATCACATTGGCTCCCCCTTAAGTAGATAACCATTCACAAGCTTACTTCTATTTCACATTTGAAGTCTGGGTCACATGTTTCTGACTATCAAGGGAGCTACTTACACTGTGACAGTCAGGGTATCCACAATCTCTTTCTGCAGCCTTGGCTCATTCCTGTAAATCTCCAGCAGTAGAAGAGCTTGATCATAGTCACCACAATAAATTTTATAGACGTTCTCCATCTCCTCTTTGAGCTCTTGGAATAAGGTGCCTACCATAGCAAAGGTACAATATTGATTCCGCAGCACACCAATCACATCTCCAAGACAGGTGCCTAAGAAAACCCTCAGAACCACCAAAGTAACAGCAGCAATAATTGTCCTCCAAACAATTAATCCTTGATCCTTACCTATGGAACATAAGAGGCCCCCTTCTCCTTCTTATGAAAAACTAAAAGCCTGTATCCAGAGCTGGCAAGTTAGTTAAAATTAAAACATAAGATCAATAGGTCCAGTGTCTAAATTACCAAGCTGACCCACTGCCTTCAATCTCCTTTGCTCTGGGCTCCCTACCTTTAGCTTCCCTACCACCTGGGTCCTCTTCCTAGTCTTCAGCTTGTCACTGTGGGACGTTTTAATCCCTGCCAAGCTGACAACTTTCTCTTCCCTCATGGAAGTTGTTCTACAAACTATTAGATGGCAGAACTCTTTTGTATTCCATCAGCATCACTTTCCCAGTAAGGAATTCTTGACAGGATATGCTGCTAAAAAAGGAAAGGGGCAATGATATACAGTGGTTCCGCTCCTTCCTCCTGTGCCATGTCCAGAAAATGGTGTTGGGGAATGAGTGTCCAGACTCCTGGGCTCTCACTTGAGGGGTGCCTCAGGGTTCTGTCCTCTCCCCCATGCTTTTTAACATCTATATGAAGTCGCTGGGAGAGATCATCAGGGGTTTGGGGCTGGGTGTTCATCAGTATGTGGATGAAACCCAGCTCTACCTCTCTTTCAAATCAGAACCAGTGAAGGCAATGAAGGTACTGTGTGAGTGCTTGGAGGCGGTTGGAGGATGGATGGTGGCTAACAGATTGAGGTTGAATCCTGACAAGACAGAAGTACTGTTTTGGGGGGACAGGGGGCGAGCAGGTTTGAGGGACTCCCTGGTCCTGAATGGGGTAACTGTGCCCCTGAAAGACCAGGTGCACAGCCTGGGAGTCATTATGGAATCACAGCTGTCCATGGAGGTGCAGGTCAATTCTGTGTCCAGGGCAGCTGTCTACCAGCTCCATCTGGTATGCCGGCTGAGACCCTACCTGCCCACAGACTGTCTGGCCAAAGTGGTACATGCTCTAGTTATCTCCTGCTTGGATTACTGCAATGCACTCTATGTGGGGCTACCTTTGAAGGTGATCTAGAAACTGCAAATAATCCAAAATGCGGCAGCTAGACTGGTGACTGAGAGCGGACACCGAGACCACATAACACCAGTCCTTAAAGACCTACATTGGCTCCCAGTACGTTTCTGAGCACAATTCAAAGTGTTGCTGCTGACCATTAAAGCCCTAAACGGCTTCGGTCCAGTATACCTGAAGGAACGTCTCCACCCCCATTGTTCAGCCCTGACATTGAGGTCCACTGCCAAGGGCCTTCTGGAGGTTCCCTCACTGTGAGAAGTGAGGTTACAGGGAACCAGGCAGAGGGCCTTCTCGGTAGTGGCACCTGCCCTGTGGAACGCCCTCCCATCAGATGTCAAGGAAATAAACAACTACCTGACTTTTAGAAGACATCTGAAGGCAGCCCTGTTTTTGGGAAGTTGTTGATGTTTGAAATTTTATTCTGTTTTTAGTCCTCTGTTACGAGCCGCCCAGAGTGACTGAGGAAACCCAGCCAGATGGGTGGGGTATAAATATAATAATAATAATAATAATAATAATAATAATAATAATAATAATAATAAAAAATAATGAGCTAACATGAAAACATGTTGTGATGACCTAAAGAATTAGTACTGACCATACTGCCCTTTAGACAATCCCCTAAACATGTGGGAGTCACTTGTCCGTGAGCAACTCCTGTGCAGCTGTGAGAATGTTTAGGACCCTACTACAAGGCTAGGTTTTGATCACCTTTTTCCTGCCCACCCCAACTCCCAGAATTAGCAACCCTTTCACACCATTGTGCCAATTCCATGAGAAAGGTGCAGTCAATCAGTCATTTAAATATGGTGAAACCATGTCAACTTTCACCCAGTTATGTGGGAATGCCTTACACACAAGCAGTTCCCATTCAGCTGGGGAAATGTATAAAGGGCATCTGTTTTCTCTTCACAAAAGAATGACCTAGAAGCCCAGGAAAACTGTAGCTTAGAAAACAATGCATGGTTGGCTCAGGTAGCAGTTGCCTGAGGACTCCTCTTTATGTTCTGCTAATTGGTTGCAACCTTGATGATTTCCCTGCACTTCTTCTGTTCTAGCTGTGCAACCTATGCAGTGTAGTTATAGTTCCCCTTTCTTAATGGATTAGTGCAATAGCATTACCAGTGAAACTGTGCTATGACCTTTGTCCTGTCCATGATTTGGGGTTATGAATTAAATCTTAGCACAAATTACCAAAGTTTGTTTTGCTCCTTGGCCATGTAAACACCTTCAGAGTAATTATTTTCTGCTTCTACAGATGGTAGGATCAATATTGAAAACACAGGAGGAAATAATAATAATAATAATAATAATAATAATAATAATAATAATAATAATAAATCTTTATATCCCATCCATCTGGCTGGTCAGCATCACAGCAATTATTGCTAGCAATAAACAGAAGTTAATGTAACACAAAGCATATCACTGAGTTAATAACATCTGTCTCAGATGGCTGGTTGTTATATTCCCACTCACTGATACGGTAGAGCTGCTCGTGCTCCTGGTTCATTGCAGCTTCAAGTCCTTTCAGGAAACGTCTGGAGATGTGCAGGACATCATCTATATTGGAGAAAAGTCCTTCCAGGTCAATCTCAGGTAGCTAAAAGGCATAATAGATTAGGAGAATGCATCAGTTCTTTCTCTGTGCGTCCATGAGTGAGCAAATGATTACTGTTTGAACAGTAATCCGAATGTTGCTTCTAAGGGTACATCTAGAATCAAACACCTATGCATTCTGGGACTGCAGAAACAGAGATCACATCCTTGCAGAACGGATGCACCAAAGATGGTGCTTAATTGTCACCATCTACCAGGAGAAAAGGGACGCGGGTGGCGCTGTGGGTAAAAGCCTCAGCGCCTAGGGCTTGCCGATCGAAAGGTCGGCGGTTCGAATCCCCGCAACGGGGTGCGCTCCCGTTGCTCGGTCCCAGCGCCTGCCAACCTAGCAGTTCGAAAGCACCCCGGGTGCAAGTAGATAAATAGGGACCGCTTACTAGCGGGAAGGTAAACGGCGTTTCCGTGTGCGGCTCTGGCTCGCCAGATGCAGCTTGTCACGCTGGCCACGTGACCCGGAAGTGTCTCCGGACAGCGCTGGCCCTCGGCCTCTTAAGTGAGATGGGCGCACAACCCTAGAGTCTGTCAAGACTGGCCCGTACGGGCAGGGGTACCTTTACCTTTACCAGGAGAAAACTTGCTGACAACAGGACCCAGTGGCCACCTGTAGACAGACCTCTAAATAGCCAGGTACTCTGCACTGCTGTAGAAGGGACTGGGGAAAGGTATAGCAACAGCTTAAGAACTGTCTTGTCTTAGTCTATAATGTACAGCATCTCCCCAAAGAGATACCACATACTGTTACCCAAAGCATCTCACACTGCAGCCTACACACCGACTATCATGGTAGCTTCTTAGACTACATTCACACCATATATTTAAAGTACTATGATACCACTTTAAACAGACATGGCTTCCCCCACACAATTCTGGGAGCTGTAGTTTGTGAAAGGTGCTTCAAATTGTTAGGAAACCTTCCCTCACCCGCCAAGCTACAATTCACAGAGTTCCCTGTGAAGAGGGATTGACTGTTAAGCCATTGTTAAATATATAGCGTGGCCTTAGCCTACCCCAAGTTCTGAATTTCACTACTAGGAACAAATGCTTAGCTTTCTTAAGTTCCTTAATGCGTCGTTGTTTTCAGAATTTGAGATTGCCTGTTGCGGATTTTAAAAACATTTTGCTGCACGATTCACTCCCATGGAAATGTGTAGAGGAGGGATAGCCAACCTGGTGCCCTCCAGATGATGCTGAACTACAACTCCCATCATTCTGGCTACGATGGAAGTTGATGTGCATCATCGTCTGGGGTGGGCACCCCCTGGTGTGGAGGATCTGCCTCACCTGCTTTTTCTGGAGGTGATTACGGATATCTGAAATACACAGCTGAAGGTTCTGTACATAACTGGTCTCTGTGTTGATGAGCTCCTCCACAGCCAGCCGTTGGTTCTGCTCTGTTTTGTCCAGGTATGTCAGAGTTTCATATATGGGTTCAGCCTCTGGTGTCTCCTCAGCTGTCAGTTCATCTGTGCTGTCATTTGCCATTTTGGGAGCTATAAAGAGAGAGGGAGACACAAGAGGAAAAGGCGGGCCATGAGTGCACATAATCCACTTAATAATCTTCAGGCCCATTCTAACTCTACACTTCAGTGGGAACATGCTGCTGGGTTTATTATTTTGCAAATGTCATACTGCCTATGCTCTGCCATGAGGCTAGCTGCTCCACCCATTGGCAGAGAGCTTCTGTAGGGCAGCAATGCCATCACATTTCAGTTGTGAACCAGGAAGCTGCTTATTGTAATTTTGTCTGTGCCCTGAAAATTACTAGGTGTCTTAATTTATTGAATTAGTAGATTTATATTCCAGCATTTATGAGTACACAACAGGTACCCTGAGCTGAGAATTGCATAACGTTCCCCTAAGATGCCCCTGAAGTGGTTTGTGCTACAATGACACATCTCCACCCTTGAATCAAGTTACAACATATATCTACATAATATACTTAAAATCACTAAAGAGCAAATTTTGATGTTGGCCTGGAATTGTGAGATAGCCTTTCAGACTATTTTGATGGTTGGGTTCTGCCGCCACCCATGTAAGCCACTTAGCATTCACTAGCATGTGGAAACGTGCTTCAGGACAGGACAGGAGGAGTGTGTAGCTTGCAAATAAGTTTCTAAAAACCCCGAAAAATAAAGTTTACAAATTGGTGGATTCAGCATGTTATTCTCAATAAAAACAGATGCACTATCTTGGAGAATATTATATTGTTGTAAAATTGGGAGATTTAGGCAGAGGGTTAATGGAGCCAGAAGTTTTGTGAGGGACTCCCTTACTATGCTGTCCACATCCTGTTGCCCAAAGTGGCAACCCAAACGCTCTTGGAGTGCTTAAGTGTCATCTTGCCCATAAAGCACCTCTGTTGTATGACTTTTACTAAGGACTTCTATACAACGTTATATTTGCGTTATATGTTGTAAACTGCCCTATGGTCTTCTGACTAAGGGCCATATACAAATTCAATAAATAGTAATAATAATAGTGTAAAGCAGTGAACTTCAGCTGGGGGCCGGTACCCACTACTTGGGTCGTGGGCTGATCTAAGATGGGTCACAAAAGCAGCACTGCCAATATATGCTGCCCAGAGTGGCTGGGGAGACCCAGCCAGATGGGTGGAGTATTAATAATAATAATAATAATAATAATAATAATAATAATAATATCATCAATAATAAGTCAGTGACAAAAGTTGCCAAGTAAATCATTTTTTAAAGGCGATTTCTGGTTGATTGCACCCAGAGCTGGGACTTTCTTAAGACTGGAGATCAGATGGAGAGCCGGGATTTTGCTGTCTATTGCAACCAGGAGCAGCTATTGCTATTTAAACCAGGAGCAGCCTGCATAGTAGGACTTGTCAAGGTTAAGGAGTCCAGAGTCAAACCCAACTCCCTAACCAGTAGGCTGTCACCCTTCTAGGGAACCAAAATATTTGCAAACTAACCAAACACAGCCAAAAAGATCTGCAGCAACTGATTTAGACCAAGGCAATTTCCCAAATGATCACACAGATGTACAGCATTATACAGAATAATTGTTGTTGTTGTTTAGTCGTTTAGTCGTGTCCGACTCTTCGTGACCCCATGGACCAGAGCACGCCAGGCACTTCTGTCTTCCACTGCCTCCCGCAGTTTGGTCAAACTCCTGCTGGTAGCTTCAAGAACACTGTCCAACCATCTCGTCCTCTGTCGTCCCCTTCTCCTTGTGCCCTCCATCTTTCCCAACATCAGGGTCTTTTCCAGGGAGTCTTCTCTTCTCATGAGGTGGCCAAAGTATTGGAGCCTCAGCTTCACGATTTGTCCTTCCAGTGAGCACTCAGGGCTGATTTCCATACAGAATAATACAGAACCCCATAAGATTCCAGTGATCTCCTTCCAAAAGAAACTGAACCTGGGTAAGCATTGTACTCCTAGAATTTCTCACTGCTTGAAAAAAGTGTAACAATATTCTCACTTGACAAAACATTCATTCTCTGTAAGCTGACAAAATTTCAGTATACCTTGAGAAAAGTTCCCTGGATATCCTACTGAAAATTAGTAACGTGCACATTTTTGTGTGTATAGCATCCTCACCCCTAAAATAAAACCAGAAGACTTAAGAACTGAATGGAAATGGTCCACATAAATAAACAGACCATAGAGAAGATTTCTGCACACCACAAGACCGTGTCTTTACACTACAGTATTATATTCTGAACAGCGTGCCAGTCTGTGCTATACATCCATAGTGCTGGGTTATTTTTATCTGATTGCTGCTGTTGATCAATTGTATTCACTGCAGGCTAGCTATTGCAAAAGACACTTTAAAATCTATTGAATCTAGCAAGGGGAACCACAGATGGCTCGTATGTAGAAGCTTCCTTTCCCTTGAATAATTCAAACACTATTTATTAATGCAACAGAAAGGCAGCAAATAGAAAGCTGGAACCCCGGTCATCATTGTTCTGTCCTCCTGGATTCTGACCGCAAAGGGGCTGCTTTACCTGAGAAGAGATGCACTTGTCAGGCCTGGAACCTTTCGTTCTGTTTGTACATCATTATGCTGATGGACATTTTAGAGAGATGATATTGGAATAAAGAAGCAAAAGCAAGAGAGAGAAAGATGGACTGAGACTGCCCATTTCTAAAATAGGTTAATGTAGTTGAGAACCAGTCCAGGGTTCCTAGGCCTGGACCAGAAGAAAGGCTCCTGGGAAGGCTCAAGTAATGAGATAACCCACTATCACAAAAGTTGAGAATTCCCAATCTATACTGTCACGGATGATTGGTGGGTGCTAGAAGAGATAAGAGTCCGGGCCTCCAGCCAGTTTTACAGGTTTTATTAGGTCCATTTTCCTATTTACACAGAGCTCTCAGAGCACGTCCGACTCATTCGGTATCAGTTGCACAGACTGGCTGTTCCTTTCCTTTTCCCCAGCATAACCACTTCCGGAGCCCTCCCCTTTTCCTTCCTCTGTTACTTGAAGAGCTAAGCCCCGGAAATTGCTCCCCCCTCCCTGATTCATTGCTTCCTGACAACCCTTCGTCATCCTCCCCCTCTGATGAGGTGCAACTGCTTACGATTATCTCTGTATCTCCCCATCATTTCCCCCTTCTCAGCCCCCAATTCCCTGACATATACAGTGACTACAAAGGGGCTGGATCTAGACACATCCAAAAAGCGTTTCAGGGAAACGTGTTGTAAACTTTGTTATGGGAAATCACGCTGGTGAAACATTGGACTCCACAGCACCACCTGGTGTCAGAGTGTTATAACACATATAAAACGCTTTTTCTTTACTAAGGTAGCTGAGTCCAGGGTCTCAGTTAAAAGTTCTGAAGGAGGTAAAAGTTCCAAAGATGCAGTCCTGCTATACAGTATTTTAGTGATGGGGACAATAAAACTACCTATCAACTGATTGCTGCTGCCCTTCATCAGGGCTCATAAGGGGAACTCTGTACCTTTTAAAGTATAGAGACCCTGGTTATTGGGTATAAACTAGGTTTGCTACATTGACAGAGTTTGTGTACTTTTAACAACTGTGCAACTGGAAGTTCAGGAGGTAAAGTTGATGAGAAACTTTACCTATTCAATTACTGCCTGTCTTGAAGTTGTTACAGAAACAGAAAACTGCTAGGGGGGAAATGGTTGCATTCCGCAGCACAGGTGGGAATCTTTGGCACTTCACATGTAGCTGAACTACAACTCCCACCAGCCCCAGTAAGCACGGCCAATGGCCAGGAATGATGGGAGTTGAAGTTCAGCAATATCTGGAGTGCGAGAGGTTCCCCACATTTGCTGTAGCATAATCCTCATCACTGTAATAACACAAGACAGCATATGTGACTAATACTATCAACTTTCAAAACAGGTTGGTGCCAGACTTGGTAGGCATATTCCTATTGTAATGAAGGCAGATGGCAAAACACAGTCCCCTTTATTTTTCATTATCACCCTAAGCTTTCACCCTATTGTTTTTGGGGTTGTTGTTTTTTAAGTCACTTGAATATTCCTTCTGTTTTGATGCCAGCCATTTTTGCCTTATAGTTGATGCAGAGGTTTAGCTGCAGCTGGAAGGATGAATAATGATGCATTTCTGGGGAATGCTGGCTTCACTTTAAACCAGGCATAGGCAAACTCGGCCCTCCAGATGTTTTTGGCCTACAACTCCCATCATCCCTAGCTAACAGGACCAGTGGTCAGGGATGATGGGAATTGTAGTCCCAAAACATCTGGAGGGCCGAGTTTGCCTATGCCTGCTTTAAACCATAGTTAAGCTCAACTGTGACTGAAAGGTGAATGTGCTGCAGGCTGCTGCATGGGGTGAAAATCACAATCACTTCACTCCTCCCCTGCTCCTGCTGTGCTGTCTGAACCTAGGCTTGTGTCTTGTGTCTCTCAAAAAAACCACAAGAACATAACCTAGGTTTGTTCCACTCTTTGGGGGAGACAAACAATAAGCCCATCTTGGCAGCAGAAGAGCAGCTGGAGCAGGGGAGGGGAGGGGTGAACAAGCACAAGTTTCTGCTCTGTGTAGCAGCATGCTGCACAGTCACCTTTAAACCAAACCTAAGTTTGACTCTTTTTTTAAAGCAGTGTACAAACACTGCCACTATATGGACTCCTCCAGCACATAGTGTGTTAGAAATTGTCAAATCTACAAGTCTAATATTGCTTAATTTGATTGTGCCTTTTGTCATTGTTGTTGTTGTTATGTGAGCAAAAAAGATATGCAGTTGGGACTTCTGGGTTGGCGCCATCGCCGAATGGCGGATTCCCTCCGAGCTCCGGAGGAAATCTGCTCGACAGGGGTCGGGTTCTACCGCGCCGGCGACGCGGGGACCCTCAAAAACCACGGGCGCGGATGCCCGTGGACCTGGTGACTCAGCGGGCACCGTTTGACCCTCCCGACCCACGAAGGAGCCTTTTTAAAGGCTACGGAGCGGGGGACGGGGAGCGGCGCGGTGCTGTGAGTCTACTGCTTCCCCTGCCAAGCGAAGCCGCATGCCATTCGTCGGAGAGCGCTGACTTCTTCTTCTGAAAATTTGGACTAAAAACTACAAAACAACAACCCGTGAGTAATTTGGAAATTGGACTAAAAACTTTTCTTTGGATTCGGTACGAGCGGGGGAGGTGCAAAGAGGAAGTCCGTCTCCCCCCCATTGTAAACATTTTAAAGCAAGGATTTGACAACTAAGGTCGAGAGAAGAGCCTTTTTTTTTTTTTTTGGATAAAAGTTATTAATTGCACGGATTGAAAGTATAAGTAACTGTGCTGGAGGATAAGAGCTAACTTTCTGATTAAAGTGCCACCCCTCCCGGGACCGGGAGTGATCCGCGAGAGGAGCCTGCTGAGGAGACATAGAAGATTTTGACAGCTGTCAAATTAGCTGTCAAAGTCGGAAAAAATAGAAAATTTTATTTCTGATGTTTTTGCCGGTTACATTAGAAACAATATAGCTACAAGTTGTTGAAAATAAAGAAGGACTGAAACAAATTAACTTGACTTTTGGGTTGGAAGTGAAAGGAATACTAAATAACCAGAATCCCTCTAGAGGGGGTTCAGGGACATTACAAGAATGGAAATAGGTCGGAAAATACTTGCTGACCTGGACGAGGTTGCTTTTCTCATGGGAAAGTTGCGAAGGATGTATGAGCAAGGTCATGCTTTGTCTACAAGTGCCATAACTTTGAAGTCAACAGCAAACGTATCTACTGAGTTGGAAAAGGACTTGATGTACAAAACCCAGGCAGCTGAACAAGAAAAGAAACTAGAGAAAACTGAGGAAGTGGAGGAAGAGATATACGCTGAACAGGAGGAGCAGAAAGGAGGGGCTGCAATGCTGCAGAAGGCAAATGGGAGCCAGAGGCCTGTCAAGATGGACATAAAAGAAAATAAGGACTGGATGAGGAAAATTTGGTTTGAACTTAGAAATGAGGAATGGAAAGATCTCCTTTTGTGGGGATCTGAAGATCTATGGATTATAAATTTGATCAAGGTGGAAGCTGGAGCTCTTGGGACATTTGGACTTAAAAGGACTAAGAAACAAGATTTGAGCTCCACCTTTAAACATGGAGGTCTGGCTGGAAGGAAGATGGACATTATAGGGATAGTGCCCCTCCGAGACTTGGTGTTAAATATAAAGGACCTTCAAAGAAACCGGCAGAGAGGGATTGAGAGAGATTTAAGGGCCTCGGACGTGAGATTGCCAGGCTGATAGTAGATGGACTAATGGATAATGGTTTTGGGATCGAAACCGGGGAAGGGAGGGTGGGATTTGGAAATCCAAAGGGTGTTTGATTTTTTCTATTCTTTTTTTAATTATGTGTTGTTATTAGTATAACAATGGGGAATTCGTGGAAGGGAAACTGGGTCGACCTTAGAAAAAGTTTTTAAATATAAATGATTAAGGTATATAAGTTAAAAGTTGCTATATAAATTGAATTAAATATAATAACAAATTAAGGTTAAAAATCTAGGGATAAGAACTTGTTGGATAAATATTTGGACATGGAATACAAGAAGGGGAGGTGAGGGGAAGTTGCGGAAAAAAGTTATTGAAATTGGGATTGTAAAGGATGAATTTTTTCCTTTTTTTCTTTTTCTTTTTTTCTTGTTCTTTTTGTTTTTTGTATCATTTGAAACTTTAATAAATATTATTTTTTTAAAAAAGATATGCAGTTGGATCTGTGGAAGAGACTCATGCGTCCAAATATCTGAAAATATAATATTTTTGCTACTAAGGATTTTAACCCCAGTATACAAGGGTTGCCCATCCTTCACTTCTACAAACTTTGCAGCAGACCTTCTGAAATACATTTCTGAGGGTGAAAGAGGTTGATTTTAAAATATGTGCCAAAGAGTGGGGAACACTTGTTTATTGAAAGAAGCATGCCTCCTCCCTTTGTCTTATTTCTTTCCTGCTGGCAGAAAATTGAAGGAAATGAAACTGATAGCTTCTTCCCTGAACTCTCTATAAGGCTTGTTTCAAAGTGAAAGCAAGAGAGGCACGGACAAAATGTTCCAACCAGAATCACAAGGCAAGACCCCTGAAAGAAGATCTTCAAGAGAAACAACAGTTGAACCCGTGTCAGCTCTCATCACAGTATGGAAGAGTTTGTTTTCCCCTGGACCATCTATTGATTTTGAAGCAATTGTCAAGTGCTGGGCCTGAGGAGGCCACCTGATGTGTGCTGAAGAAGAAGAAGAAGAATGAACAGAGGGGGGTAATCAAGCAGAGCAAAGCATTCTGGGCTAAACAAGAAAATTACAGTGGAAATTTTGAACATGCTGCAGGAATTTTAACTATCTAGTTGTGGAATTAAGTGACTGAATTTGAGCTTGTTTACAGGTTGCATAAATGTACCGTAATTTTGATGACTGCCAAAGAGGCCTTTGGAGAGGAGACTATGAGGTCTTCTTTTTTGTAGGAATCTGGAGTTGTACTCTTAAAATGTTTGTAAGAAGAACTGTTTTTTCCTTTTAATTAGGATTCATGGCAGTCTCTCCACAGAAGGTTCAAGAAGCTAATGACATCTCTTTCCTACACATGAGGAAACTGTAAGTGATGGGACAGGAAGAAGGAAGGAAGATAAGGAGAACAGTAGGCCTGGCCCAAAATTTCTCATTTGATGTAAAGACAACAGGTACAGGAAGTGAAAAGATAATAATGGTTCTGGTAGACTCTGGGTCAGTGAAACAGGAGCTGTTGGGTCCGGAATCTGGACACAAAGAACTGCATCCTTGCTGCATCCAGCTGTGGCTTCTACTGTCACTGTAGCATTAAGAGCGATGCTGGATCAGGCCAAAGGCCCAGATGGCTATGGAAATCCCACAAGCAGGACCTGAGCACAACAGCAACTGGTATTCAGAGGCATACTGCCTCAGACAGTGAAAACAGAACATTGTGACATGGCAACCCTATAGGGAGGGCAGCAAAGGGCAAAACGATGTTGGGAAGCTGAATTTCACTTACTGATCTGAACTAACCAGCCCATTCTTTGGCTGAAGGCTTCTACATGGACTTGAAAGTGCATAACTTTGGCAGTACTGGAGGTGGATGAAAAGCTAGTCAATAGGGAAGAACTCATACTACCTTTCCTGCTGAACTGGTCTGTTATTTTGGGCAAGTCACTGGCCCTACATATACCTGAGAGACAGCCTGCTTTATAGAACTCCCAAATTTTCCAATCAACATATGGCGAAAATGAGGGAGAGAAGGCCCAATGCAAGCAGGTGACAGCGCTGAATAATGACAGTAAGCTGAGTACTCTGTGTTGGGCCCAATAGAAGAACCTATCTGCATGTTCAGAAAAAGCATGTGGTATGACTCTTTTGGGACGTGCCATTTCAGAGAATTCCATGACTGAGGGCTCTCACCTGCCTGCAAAACTCTACCGTGTCTGGGTCTCTGAATGTAGCCTTCCCTCACACATACTGCTGCTGGAAAGTATGTAATGAAGATGATGATGATGATGATGATGATGATGATGATGATTTATTTATTTATTATTATTATTATTTATTTATACCCTGCCCTTCCCGGCCAGAACTGGGCTCAGGGCGGCCTAACACCAATAAAATTACAATAAAACATAATATGGGCTAAAATACAATTTAAAATGCAGCCTCATTTTAATAGTAGCCCATAAATCAAAACCATAAGGGGATGGAAACATCAGGGTCAGACTGAGTCTAAACCAAAGGCCAGGTGGAACAGCTCTGTCTTGCAGGCCCTGCGGAAAGATGCCACCTCTCACCTTCACTCTGAAGTGGTACAGTCCCAGCAGGGACTTTCTGAACATGTACAAACACCACACAGAAACCAGGCAGGCAGGAGCTTGCATCATCCACAGTCCCTTTCTGTACCTGCTGAAGGAGTCCTGCTGCCACCCAGTTTGGGTTGTTCATTTTCCCAAGCAGGGCTTCTGTACTGTTAATAATTGGGAGGGGGAGATTAAAAACAGGCGATGCTTCTCACAACTCAACCGCACCTGTAGAATCCCTACTTGCCATGCAGCTGTTAAATGCTCAGGGATGCTGCCAGAAAGCAAAAAAAGTGGCAAACATATTGGTTCTCTAAAAACTATGGAAAAAGCAGCTTTCCCTTTTACCGCCTCCTGTGACAGGCACCTGCTCTTCCCTGCAGAAGTCAGTGAATGTGCAGGATCTGGAATGTGGTTATGCAACCTTCCCACTCATCCATGCAGGGAGAGACAGCCGTCCCTGATTAATGGCTGCCCGGGAGATTTTGTGAGACGCACACAATTCCAAGGACTTGGCCCCTGCCCTTTCGGAGGACATCTCCTCCATCAGCAAAGCGCTTGCTGTCAGCTCTCCTTGGCTTTTTTGCCTCTTAATTCTTACCTGCTAATTAGCCGGGGACTTCTCGACTTGTTTAAGCTGCCTCGCTGCTGCTGCTGCTGCTGCTGCTGCTGCCGCCTCTGAGTTAACGATCAACCCACTGCGTTCCAGCTGCAGAAGCACAGGCTTGTTTGTGTCTATGTGTGCAGAGGACTGGCTGGCCCTCTCAGCTGTGTGCAAGTAAGTGTCTGTGAGCCAGGCCGGGCTCCGTTCCCTCGCTGCCATTCTCTCGCTGCTCTGTTTACTGCAGCCGCACAGGCTATGCGCGAGTCCAAGCGGGAGTCAGATGAGTGTATTCGCTCACAGTGCTCCAAAACAAGAGAATACGCATCCAAGGCAACCCCTGCACGGTGGCAGCAGGCCAGCTGTAGAGATTTCTAGATGGAAATGAATGGGCCCTGTGGCCTGGCAGGGGGGCCAGCTGCAGGAAAAAAGAAACACCTTCACACACAATAGGAAAATCCTGTGGGGAGCCAAGAGCAGTGCAGGCCACAAACAGCAACTCAGCTGACTGAGCTTTGGCTGTAGGCCACCTCTCAGTCCTAGGCACTCCCTCAAAGCCTGTTTACTAACTGGCAAACCCTCAGCATGTTCCAGCATCAGCGCAACGTCCCGTGGGCAGCTTCATTTACTCTTATTAACAAGCATGGTCTGGAGGTTTATGACAGCCATGGGCAAACAGGCTTTGCTTTAAAAAGAAAAGATGCCCCGGAAAGTATATAAACTGCGGTCTGTATTCCTGCCGCTATGCCTGACAGGTGGGGACATAAGCTCTCCCTAGAGGCTGATTTCTGAGCATTTGGTAATTACAGGTTTTTGCATCATAATAGCCCCAAATCAAAACAGATTTGATTGGGAAGGAGCACAAATTGTACCAGCAGAGGAGGGAGGTTTAATGTTTAATTCATGTTTATTAAATTTCACATCTTTATAATCATGCCGGGGGCGGCACAGGCGATGACTCCAAAAAGCAGCAGCCAGCCAGCCAGCCAAGCTTCTCAATTTGATGGCATGGCTTTCTCGTGGCCTAGCTGGCTCTCTCGGCGGTTTTGTGATAGTGTGTGTGGCTGTAGGTAGGTTTCCTCAAGGTGACCTGGGAAGGTTGAGAAGAAGGAATGGCATAACAGCATATCCCCCAGTTCTATCAGTCAGATCAGTAGAATCTAATTCACTGGCTTCAGCATATTTGCCTTGCATCTTCTTCCCAAATTTGTCTTCCTGTTGCTAGCAAATCTAATGTCAACAACATTTAACAAAGCTTAGCTTGCATGTTTTTAAGGGGTGGGATTTGCTAGCCTGACACCATTCTTTACTTTATGGTAGCTGTTTTACTTTTTAGGCTGTTGGTTTTCAGCTGTGCTGTTACTTCTGCTTGCTTATTTTATTTTGATGAATTGCTTTAAGCAAAGGTTTCTACAGAAAGGCAACTTATAAGAACATGTTGATGTTTTAAAAGTTCTAGCACTAGATGCAGCCTTGTATTCTGGGATGATGCAAATGGAGGCCTGCAGATTAAAAATTAGATTTGCTGAGGAAATCCCAAAACAGGCCCAGGAGGAGACACTGGAGCACTGTCAACAGGACACACAAAAAACAGCCAAGGGCTGAAAAGGGGACTGGGCAACCAGGAGGGCATACTTTAAAGCAGAGATCACCAACTCTTTCCCACCAGTAGACACATATAGAACTTTGAGAATGTTCAGTCGGTGCTAGCCATAAAATGTCTGCTCTGTGAGCATGGCATAATGACTTCCACATCAAAAAAAGGAGAAAGATGTGACTTATCCACACCTCCATTTGCCCCACTGCCCACCCGACCCCCAGAAAACTCAATCATTAGTGCTGAATTGGCACAAATGACACTCAGGTTTTCTGTGGATTGCTGTTTGTTCCGATTCAGCACAAAAGAGTAGGTTTTCCAGGGGAAAGCAGTGAGGGAAAGGCCAAACTGCTCAGACCCATGCCTAGAAAGCATGGAACAAGCAGAAAACTGCTCAGATCCATGCTTCCTAGGAATGGGACAAGCAGAAGTGTGGACGAGCCCATACAGGATTGCAAAATGCTTGTAGGCATGACCCTCATCAGCGGGGATAGGTGGCTCCACAGCAGAGCATCTGCTTTGCATGCAGGAAGTCCCAGGTTAAATCCTTGGCATCTCCAGATAGGGTTAGGTGGGAGACACCCTGTCTGAAATTCTGGAGGACCACTGCCAGTCATTGTATAGACTCTACTCAGCCAATGGTCTGACTCAATATAAGGCAGCTTCCCATGTTCCATGCAGGAATAGTACAGCCATCCCCTACCCATCCAAGGCATTGCCTCCCACACTGGTAATTAGATTCCAAGTGTACCTGTTTTTAGCCAACAGATCCTTGAATGAATGCTCAGTGGACAAATCTAACTGAACATAGGAACTCGCAATAGTAAGATATAGTGATTGGGTCATTTAACCTCTGGTATGATACTAGAATTGTTTGTCACATAAAAGAACCAAGAGAAGGGCAACAAAGGTTGACAGTGCCCAGCAGTTGAAGGAGGCTCTAGAGTTGGGTCAAAAGACCTCAGGATAGTCAGTACAGGTAAGTTAGGATAGCCAGGATATGAATGTAGGTTGCCCCACAGTCCTATTTTCTTACTGTATGTTCTTGGGCTGGAAAGAGACCTTGGCTATGCAGGCCATATGCTGGGTAAGACTCTCATTTTAAACCTTCCAACTTACGAAGTTTGCGCTATTTCCTCAGAAGGCCTAATCTATCACTGTCACTTTTTCCTCCAGGTCAGCTGAAGTTACTTTTTGCCTCTTTAATCACCACCCACTGCACTGCTATCTATCCTATTCAGCTGTCCAGGAATTACACTAGGAACAGCCATATAATGTCATCATATTCACGGCTTTTGCTACCTTCCAATTTTACTTGCAAGCCTCCTTAGTCACAAGAATCTACATATTTCTTGGTCTTTGCCTTTTCCATTTATTAATCACAATGCAATCTAAAAACTCATGTTTGCGGTCTTTTGACACTCCATTCTCATTATGAGGCCAGATCAATGTTGTCCTCTTTGTTGAGTTATTTATTGATCCTCCTTCGAATTCTCAGGCCTTCCATTTAATTTCATAGCTTGTGCCATCTGGTCACCTTGCCCCTAATGTGTTCCTCAACTAGCCCATCTCTGTGATCAATCTTTTTGTCCCATTTTCTCATCAACCCAGCATTACTGGGCTCAACACCAAATGAATATTTTCCCTTTATAGTTTTACTGAGATTGTTCCGTTATTTCAAATGCTCTTGAGGTTTCTAAAAGCATTAACACATCATCTTATTATTTTTCTTTAAATTTATCTAGCACTGACATTCTTAATATCTCTCACTGATCTCCTTAGTCCTGCAGCACTAGGTTGCCTCTATGCACAAAGCAATGGTTTTGTTTCAGACTATTTCCATATAAGCTTCAAGGGGAGCATGTAGTATTTCATGCACACTCAACTCAGCAAATGTTTAAGACGTGGTTCTTAAAGAAGTTACAGGGACGAATCTAAGCAATTCCGTCTGTTTGTCTCCATTAAATTGCTTCTATTCCAGTAAATCATGCTGTTCAAACTGTTACGATGCACATGATCTAATGGTAAAATAACCAACAATTTGAAAGAACATCAAGATCTTGAGATGCTTGGCTTGCAAAATGATTGCTCTGAAAGCTATCGTTTCAAATGACCTCCCTCACAGAGAGATGAGTACATGTGAAGTGTGATAGAAGAGCAGTAACTAATCACAGCAGCGAGGTCATTAGCACACTGTGCCCAGACAAGGTAAGTAGGGTCTTAACATCTCTTAGGTGATATTCCATTTACAGTGGTACCTCAGGTTACATATGCTTCAGGTTACATACGCTTCAGGTTACAGACTCCACTAACCCAGAAATAGTGCTTCAGGTTAAGAACTTTGCTTCAGGATGAGAACAGAAATCGTGCTCTGGTGGCACGGCGGCAGTAGGAGGCCCCATTAGCTAAAGTGTTGCTTCAGGTTAAGAACAGTTTCAGGTTAAGTACAGACCTCTGGAACGAATTAAGTACTTAACCTGAGGTACCACTGCAATTGCTTTCAAAGTTTCTTTAGGAAACTATATGCACAAGGGCCAGTTGATGAGCAGGAAATAGAAGAATTTATCAAGAAGTATGGACTACCAAAGATCTCAGATCAAAGTAAAATGATTTTGAATGAGAAAATAACAGGACAAGAAATAGAGGGTGCCATCCAGAATATGCAGTTGGGAAAATCTCCAGGACCAGATGGCCTAACGGCTAGATACTACAAGGCATTGAAGGAATGGATAATACAACCATTGAAGGAGGTCTGTAATGAAATTTTGGAAGGGAAAAAGGCACCTGAATCGTGGAAAGAAGCTTTTATTTCACTTATACCGAAAACAGGGACTGAAAAGAACCAGGTTAAAAACTACCGCCCTATATCATTACTTAATGTGGATTATAAAATCTTTGCAGACATTTTAGCAAAAAGACTGAAAAGAGTGCTGATAGGGGAGATTCACAAGGACCAAACAGGCTTTCTCCCAGGGAGACATATGTCGGACAATGTGAGGAACATTATAGACATTTTGGAATTGTTGGAAGTGAACATTAATAGAAAGGCGGTTTTGATTTTTGTGGACGCGGAGAAAGCCTTTGATAATATTTGTTGGACCTTTATGAAGAAGAATCTCCAAGGGATGGGGGTAGGCCAAGGTTTTGAAAACGGTATAGGTGCTATATACTCTAAGCAAAAAGCAAAGTTGATTGTGAACAATGTGGTTACGGAAGAAATACCTATAGAAAAAGGCACACGACAGGGGTGCCCAATATCCCCTTTACTTTTTATAACAGTCCTGGAGGTTTTGTTAAACATGATTAGAGGGGACCAATTGGTTAAAGGAGTTCAGGTCGGAGCCAGAAATTACAAATTAAGGGCATTTGCAGATGACCTTGTATTGACTTTGCAACAGCCAGATACTAGTACTAAAAGAGTATTAGAATTAATTGAGATATTTGGTCAAGTAGCAGGATTTAAACTGAACAAGCAAAAAACTAAAGTGTTGGAGAAAAATTTAACAATGGCAGAAAAAGAGAAATTTCAGAGTGAAACAGGTTTAGTAATAACAAAAAAAGTGAAGTACCTGGGTGTGAATCTGACTTCAAAAAATGTGAATTTATTTAAAGACAACTATGACAAATGTTGGACAGAGGTGAAGAAAGATCTAGAAATATGGTCAAGGTTGAGACTTTCCTTGTTAGGGCCGAATTGCTGTCATCAAGATGAATGTATTGCCTAGAATGTTGTTTTTATTCCAGACACTCCAGATCCTGGACAAAATGGACTGTTTCAAGAGGTGGCAAAAAGACATATCAAAATTTGTCTGGCAGGGCAAAAAAGCCCAGAATAAACTTTAAGATCTTAACTGATGCAAAAGACAGAGGGGGGTTTGCCCTGCCGGACCTGAGACTTTATTATGAAT